GCTGGGGAATTCTGGGAGTTGAAGTCCACACATCTTCAAACCGCCGAGGTTGAGAAACACTGCCCTAGACCATTCCCTGTTTCTCGATCCTTGTGAACCAAAACAGTGCACAAAGTAATGCACAACATGGTGAACAACGACAGCAATAATGGTCTCCAACCCTGGTGGCCATTAAACTTCCCACCAGATATTTTCGCTCTCATATTTCCCATGAATTAATGTGGGGAAACCCCTCTGCTGAGAAACAGGCCAGGCCAGCAACTTGCAAACTCCTGCAAAAAACCCCACAATTAGCATGTGATAATATTCACCCTTCAAAGGTACCCCTTGAACCACGGATGCCCAACCGGGGGGAAGAAAACCGCGGTTCACCGCCCCCCGCCCACACGCTGAGCTTCTTTTTCATACATGCACGGGAGTAAAACGAGGGTCCCCGTTTTTATTAGCCTTGTTGGCTTCCCCCAGATGAATACGGCAACCTCCGGGTGCAAAAACGAGGGTTACGGAATACCTCAGAAATGGCCTTCGGGGTCAGAGACCAAACCACCCCGCCGTCTATCCTCGGACAACCGAAGAAGCCAAGCCGAAATGGGACGGCCGCGGCTTCTTATCGACTGGCTGACCGCAGCTCCGAGGAAGACTGCCCCTGCAGCTGGAGGCTTCGTGTGGCCAAGAGCGCCAGAAAGGAACGACCACGCGTGAGCGGAGGTGGGAATAAAAGCGACACGGTACTCACATCCCGGACGTGTAGGTGAATCCGACGAAGGGCAGGTGGTGGGCCGAGAAGGTGGCATGAGAGACGGGCGGCAGCGTCTCCTAAGAGTCAGGGATGGAGGAGGAAGATCAGGGGGCATTTTTTCAGATGCCTGCTCCCTCCTGGGCACTCCAGGTGAGGCCAGAGGAGGGGGACGGGAGGCACTACCTTGCAGGGGGGCTCTTCTACCATTTCACGGTCTGTCCTCGAGATTAAGGGAAGGACCCCCTTCCCCGTTACCCCGTCACCAGCACTGGCTGGCCAGAGCTCCGTGGGAGACTCTAAGACAGTGTTTCTCAACCTTGGCATCTTTAAGATAGGTGGACTTCAACTCCCAGAATTCCCCAG